TGTGAAACGGGATTGCTCCTTTATTTTTCAAGGGAGATGTTATTCCAAGTATGCCAGTGTACGTGTATTTAGTGGAGGATTATTTCAATTGCTCCGTATAAATGTTTACCTGGTGTAATTAACTGGATGAATCCTTATTATTCGAGTAACTTATTCTTGTTCATTCCAGTAATGTATTTACATTAAATAAGAATAGAGATGAATTTGAGAATTTACTGAAACAGGTGGTGAAACGCAAGCGGAAAATACCTTGAATGATAAACGAATTATTTGGTAATTGTACTGTAGTTTGAATAAATGTTCATTGTTAATATATTTTTATTCTTATTCGGTTTATTACTCATTTAATAGCATAAAGATACTTTTTAATAATAATTTATTCTCAATACTTTAATGTTTTAACGGATATTTAATATGATTCCAAACAATTTCAATGTTTTGCCTGACCATTTTACGCTAGTTCTACTTTATTACCTCATTTCCAGTTCTTTGTGAATTAACATTCCTTTAGTTTCGTACATTTTTATGATTTTAACAATAGATACTTGTTTACAATTAGTTTCTAGAAGCTTGTCATCAAAGAATAGAAGAAGGAATTAACTTCACAGGATACACAGTATCAAGCAAGTAGATACAGCGAGTAATTGCCGGGCGCATCAGGCACGGATACCGGCAGTGGCCGTTTAGTCGCGCTTTGGGAACCTTATCACTTGAGCTATCGAGCTAGGTGGATTTCCAGGAATTACGAATTGTTTTCTTCCTCGGGGTTGCTTGTATCTGAATGGATTAGGGATTAGAATGAGAAACATTAAGTGCAACCAAGATAAGTAGCTGCAATTAAGCGACTTCTGTTCTGTATATTGAGGGAGTCTCCAAAGACAAATGCCTCTGTAAAAGTGAAAGTATCTCTGTTTCTAATAACTCCTCAAAAATAACCATCTAGGCAAAAAATATTTGTTTGAAAGCTGCGAATATTGTAATAAAAAGAATTTGTTTTTTTAAAATGATACTTTCTCAAATTTCAACATCGATCTTTTTATAGTTTTATGGAATTACATTCTTTTACTATTGTAACATTCATATTCGATAAAAAGACAAATTGAACCATCCATAACAATCATTGATTTCATATCATATTTTCAAATTATATTTTCTCTAATTCAAATGGAATTTTCACTAACCAACAACGCAAATTTAATCGTAAATGTATTAAACCATAAACATTGATATTCTGAAAGTAATACAATCTTGAAACCATTCCTATCAACACTTTATTTACAGCAAACCTACTAAATCAGCTTTTCCGAATGATTAACAGTCAGTAACCTATTACAATTTCCGGTTTACAACAAAAACAATCAGAAAGACATTAAGAAATTCCCTTATACTTTGATTTTAAAATTACTAAGTTTTTCAAGTAAAGACATACACTCCAACGTGATGACAAAAACCGTACTAATTTATAGTTGACTGATTGACTTGATCAAGAATGGTCGATAAGGTGTTAAAATCAATCAAATATTTCACCCAACATCAACGCTAACATTTCCCACAAGAAAATCTCGTAACGTTACACCGTGAGGCAAACAGGTTTCAGAAATGCTGCTCCGTGACATAGTTTTGAAACGGAATCACTTGCGGGAGCTTAAACTCGCACCATCTCGCGCAGTTTTTTGTTTTACGATGTCCCGGATGATCCGTCGAATCGCGATGTCGTTTCTGGATCACGAAAGGCGCGTTTCTCCCCGTTCCAACGGGTTGACGAGTAATTTTATGGACTTCATAAAGAACGTATTTCTTCCGGGACATGCGGAGAAAGGGAAACGAGTCTGAAAGCCAGCCGCGTGGTGCAAAAGGGCGAGAGGAATTCGCGCATCGCCGATGAAAGCGCAGGAAATCGTTCGGTCGGGGGTACGCGGACACGTGTACGGTTGTTTCCGGGTCACAGCGGTTGTTTTGATCCTCTTTCTTCCACGTACACGAACCCCACCCGCGACTGATCGAAATCGTGCCGGGATCAATACGAACCGGCTGAATTCTGCCCTCGTAAACACTACGAGCGACGCGGGGCCATTTAACACTGGTACCACTGAGCATTTGTTATGGTTGATATATAATCGTTATTTACATTGTAATAATACATTTTTCCTGATTTCTTCATATATTCGTTATAGTGTTTAACACTAAAAATACCAAACGAATCAAAATGAGACATTCCTAGTTTCTCTCTTTTGCAATGATTAAGAAGGTAACAGATGTTTCTCTGAGAAAATATTAAAGAAATTAGTTTAGTAATACGCAAACTGATTTGTAAATCAATTAAAGTTTCATAGATGCACTCTTGGAATTTCTATACAGGGATTTCAAAAAGTCACTTTTATTGCTTGGTAGTTTTAGTGTTAAGTGAAATTATGTATTTTTATCTATTTATTTATTTTTCAAATCAATTTGGATACTGAATACTATTAGCATATCAATAGCACTGATTAATACGATCTTTGTTACAGAAGGTTTAATGGGTGATCTTACTAGTATTTCTCATGTTGAATTTGAGTATGCAATCTGTTTTTCTCATTCACCCACAGTTTGTGAGAAAATCAATTTCTGAAAACAATTCAATCTTTCAACTTTGAACATTTGTTGTGTCTGTATTATGAGAATTTGTCAAACTTTTCTTACACAGTATTATTCTACAAACCTTTCTGAACAAAATGACTTTAATTTGAACATGCGGGGAAGAATATTAATGTATCGCCAACAGGTTATCGCTAGACGTGGCAAAACACATTAGTGTGTGTAATAAACGAAATTCTGAGGTTAATACGAATAATGGCATTAGTAAATTATTTTTGAATTAATTAAATGAAAATTGTGGAATGCAGAAAGTAAAGGATTTTTTTTATATACGTAGATAGAAATTTAATAGTGAATTAGACCATTGAAAGTATGGATCAATTAATAATTGTTTAGAAATGCCTCCTTCAATAACTTAAATCGGTACGTCAATGTTTTATCGAAATTTGTAACTTGTGTTTTTAAGGTGTTCTGTGTGACTTGACAAGTAGGTCGATTTTCCACGTGATTAAAGCGACAGCAAACCTTATCTACCCGAAATCTGAGCCAATGAACAGATTTTCCCGCGCTGCTTCAACTGTTCTATGCGAGGCTTTCGCGTAGCTCGTGCTAGTGAGGCGTTTCTCAATTAAACACCATTGCGAACAACACCTGAGTACTCGCTTAATGGCACCTAATTCCTGTTTCGGCGGTAAGAAATCCCCGCATCCTGATTACGAATGCAACACGACAGTTGTTCGACGATAAGACAGATTTGAATATCAATGCGTTGACGGTGCAACACGTTAACTCAAATTGTTTGCAGACACTTACTTATAAGGAGATTTTTGCAAAGTAAAGGAAAACTTTGGAAAGCAAGATTTGTTGAAATGTACATTCTCTTAGCCTGTTCAAACATTAATTTACACTTCTTTAATAATTCATTCATTCATATATATTGAATATTATGTCACTATGAATATTATTGAATATTATATTCAATCCCAGGAGAAAATAAATTAAAAATTGCGGAAAGACATGGGTAAACACTTTTCAGTGAACATAAAATTTAATTGAAACAACGTGAAAATATATAATTATATATTATATAATATAATTGATAATTAAACAAAATCTAAGTTTCACGAAGTTGAGTATTTATTGCTTCGAGTAAGTAATTGAAAGGTGATTGATCTTGAACATTGGTCGTTTATGTGCAATGAGAAGATATTAGAATGTACTCTACATTCGTTACTTCCACTCAGTTTTATTATTTTCTCATTCTTACTGGAGAATTAATGGCAGAATTCTGTAATATATGGTTCGAATAAAAAGTACGAATCGTGCCAGACCTTGAATTCTATTTTATGGTCTTATCGAACTCAGCAGGAATCTCTGGCACTGTTCCCAGTCTATCGCTCTGACGAACTTTCCTTTTAAGTCTTGCTACGACACTCAGGAACTTCTCTCTGCGTCCACACAGACCCTCATGCTCCTAGCTAAATCTGTTTGGTCATGTACCATAGCAGAGCCTTCGCATTCTCGGTGATCATTCATTTAAACAGTTTGGCTTATGTCCTTCAGACTCCCTAAATTTGTTTCGCGATGTCCCAGCCACTTCAGCAAGAAGAGAATTTCAAAGAGATTAACCTTTACTCCACGATTACATCCTTCATTCAATATGCAACTTCCTGCGCATAAAGAAATTTTATTTTTTATCCTAAAGGGACCATTAATAATACGGAGTTTTATATACCGATTTCTGCATTGTTAGTTGATTATTCAAATAAAAATGAAAAAGAAACTTACTTCATTATCTTGGAGTTCGATATACTTACTGCTTACATTTTATATTTGTCTGGATAATAAAGAAAATCTTCAGTTAAAGAATCTTGATTTTAATGAGTTTCTGCAGCGTAGTAGCACACAGATGGATTTTTCATGATGGTACTCTTGCTTTGATAATTAAGAAATAACTTTTTAAATAAAACATTTATGCTACTATTCTGCAAGAGTATATTAACACTTTACCTACCGGGAGCTACTTAACAATTTGTTAAAATCAATGAGTAACAGAACTTAAAGCTTTTAAATATACCATTCAATAATAATTTTCAACAAGTCCCTTGCAATAAATATGGGGTAATGCTATGTTTCATAATCATTATTTGAAATAAAATAATCAAGTGTCCTTTTGGCATAACCCAGTCTTTAAAAATTCTCACAATAAGCTTCCGATACAAGAAGTGTTAAAATTAATTAGCGGTACAACTTTGAACGAAAAGGTTGATTCGATTTTGGTCCAATCAAATCCTACGTTTCACAGATTAAATAATAAATCTTTCTGACGAAGTCTTTGCGTCTATGAAACACAAATACCCACACATATGCGTACAAACAAACACCAACAGAATATTATAAATCTACAACAATGGAAACTGTGTCAGCGATGACTCGGTACGAGACTCCCCTCGTACTAAGCCACGCAATTCGTGTGCTCCTGTTTTTCAGAAAGCGGCGGCGACGGCGGCATGAACACACGGGACCGGTTAGGAAGTGCCATTCGTCGAGTGTCGAGCGATCACGAGCGATTCATCCAGATCGCGGTCGCCGGCTATCAGACTTTGAGTACGCGGCCGTAGTGTGTAGAGAGAAGCAACAAAAACAACAAAAACTAACAAGAAGCGTTCAAAGTATATATTCAACAATCGGGAGAGGACATAGACACAGTGACTGACAATATATTACTCCTGTAGTATACCAAAAAAAAAGTGAACGGGTAGCAAGAACGGAACCGAAGAAAACAAGAAAACCAAAATAAAAGAACGAACAACCCAAAAGTAAAAAAAGCAAACGCAAGAAACAAGTGTATAGTTCGACAGTACATGTGAGAAGTGAGCAAGATTGCAAGAGAGAGGGAGAGAGAGATTGAGGAAGCGAACGAGCAAGCGAGCGAGCGGTGTCCATAAATAACAGAGGGCAGTCGACATGGAGATGGTGGTCGATCGCGTTCCATCCGAGCGTTCGATTTCCCGGGCGTCGAACGCATCCGCGAGACACGTTCAGCCGTCGTGCATGTTCCTCCTTGGACCGCAGGGAAGATTCTAACTCCGCTGTCATCCGAGATATAACGCATGCACGCGATGAGCCACACCGGGGATCATCGGGAGCCCGAATCAGGTCGGATCGTGGTAGATTAGTTCGGCCAGGCCGTTGATCCAAACGTATACAAGAGGCCGCGGTGATCTGTTAGCGAAGAACTTCATGAAAATGGACTCGGCAAAGCTTGGTGAGCCAGCCCCGAGCAGCCCCAGGGCTCACTCGCCGGTGATGCCGACGTATAATACGAACACCACCTCCACCACGAACACCGGCACGGAGACGAACATCGACTACGTGATCGGTGACTACATGGAGAGACTCGGAACGAGGCTGAACATACTCGAAACAGAGCTAAAATACGCGTGGAGAGCGCTGGACCTTTTAAGTCAGGAGTACATCAAGATGTGGGAGAGGCTGGAGAAGCTGGAGGGACTTTTATACGAGCAGCAGACAGTGATCAGCCAGCTGATCGAATTCTACACCAGCGGCGGTCCTCATCAACAGGTTAACGTCGTGGAGCAAACGTTGGCCAGTCAGCAAGCCACGGTGGGCGAATTGGACGCGATCGCGAAGAGCATCGGTGCCGGATTAGGGGTCGAGGACACGAACGCCCTGAGGGAGAAGTTGACGCAGCAGGAGCTCGCAAGGATGCACGGACTCACGCAGGATAGCACAACAGCTGCCGCGGTAGTTACCGACATGCACAGGAATGTTAGGAACTTGGACACTCTGGAGACTCTCGCGGAAGAGAGTAATATTCCAGACGAGGCGTTCTATAGAAGCTTGAACAACGCTTACAGAGAAGATCTAATTTGCGGCGACACGTCCAGGCCGACGTCGCAGTTGGGTATGATCTGGGAAGAAGCGGAGGATGAGGATGTGAATGGGAAGAAGGATATGGAGGCGAGCATGTTCGAGAAGACTGTGGCAAAGGAGAAGGAACTCGAAGAACTAGTTAGCAAGCCGACCGAGGAGAAGATCTCAGAAGCAGTGACGGATAAAAAGGACGAGGAGGACGAGGACGAGGGGGAAGTGTTTAGTGCGGCTGATTATAAGAGCTACCGAGGTAACACGCCCTGCGTTAGCGAGCAAGATCTTGCACAGCTATCTAGGCTCAGTTCCATCGATCAAGTGGCTTTGGAGAAGCTGCACGAGCTGGACAGGCTGACCAACAAGTTGCAACAGGATTCCCAGAACCTTATCGAACTCCAAACCCGATTGATGGACTCCCCTAAGAGGCAGTATAGCAGCGAAGCCGAAGTAAAACTCGCCGAGGAGGCGAGCAGTATAGATGAGCAGCTTAGAAAGATCTACGCTGAAACGGACGTCGACAGCTGGACCTTTTCTAAGAGTCCTGGATCAACTGGCAGATCGATCTCCAGAGTTAGTACTGATAGTGGTTTAGCCACCGACGGTGACTTCACCACAAGATCAATCTCACCCAGACTGACGTCCACATCCAGGTCAAATTTGGACTCTATTTCGAGTACCTACACACCTCCTAGGCTCGCTTACACCACTACTGCACGGGAAAAGGCTACTGAACCCGTGATCCAGTTGTCTATCGATGTAGGGAACTTCGCTAAGGGCTACGCGGAAAACAAGGAGCTGACAGACTTAATGGTTGAGAGTTTCGTCGCTGTAACCTGTGCCTCGCCGACTATTTACAGCACGACCGCGGATAAAGTTCCATCCCCGACTTTGTCCGCAGGCAGCGTCCATAGCGTCCACAGCGTCCACAGCGTGCAGAGTCTTCGAACCAGGCAAGACGGCTATTTCGGTAGCGCAGCACGGTTGAACCTGGAGTTCCAAGAGAGCAGAACACCTCCTAGTCCCTCACCCAGTTCGCCGCCTCCACCGGCTCCTAGGGATTCAGCGGAGTCATTCCTGATGCCAGGATCCGAACAACGGGAAGCCGAACCGAAGAGTTCCCAGAGTCCTACGTTCCTCAGAAACGCCGAGAAACTAGTGTCCTTAGAACAAGGTCGCTTAAGTCCACGAACACCGCATTCACCCAAGTCGCCGCGGGTGTCGCCTAAACATACTATCAAGCCTAGCAGCGCAGTAAATATAGTAGCAGCTAAGTCCGATTCCGGACTTTCATCGATGAGCGGATGGAGCAGCTTGGATAAATCCCCAAGTTCACCAAAGAGCTCGATCACCAAGATGCTGACCTCATACTCGATGGATCATGCAAGGACAACCTTGATACCAAGCACCACCGCAGTTAGATCCGCCAGTCCGATACCACCTCTACCAGAGACGACTACCTCGGTGATCACACAGGAGCCTTTGTACGACACTCCTGAGGGCAGAGATGCTTTTGCTAACGCTACAGCTACTGTTACCAGTCACTCTTATACGGTAGCTATGAACCACCTGTCAAGCTACTCTGCGATGAAGACACCAACTACTAAGGAAGACTACAGTTTTGTGCCACCACCAGCACCTATTTCGACCACCTGTCAGAGCCCTAAAAAGCGAACTCGTCAGCAGACTCTACAGCATACCTATGACACAGTAGCACCTGGAACCACGCTGGACTACGTATTCAAGTCCGATCAGCCGGCAATTTACTCCGTGGCCGGTAGTAATCGTCAACAAGCTATTACGAGCGTGTACACTAGTGGTTCCGGCAATTATGGACCGAAAACCACGATCACCGCTTATTATACCGACTCTGTGACGGAACAGTATACTAATAGCTACCAAGACGGCTTCAGCACAGTGCAGTACACGGAATCAGGCGGTACCGTCCACATGAGAAAACCGAGGAGCAACCAGTATCCGGACGGAATGGCGAATCACGAAAGCTACAAAGCCGCGATGTACCGCACAATGTTTCCTACGGGAAACATCACGGACGCTTTGTCTTACTACCCGACTAGCGCGAACCTGCCACGAACAGAGACGAATGAAAGCTCGTGGTTGAACTCAATGGAGGAACAGATACCGCATGACTCGACCTCTTCTAGTATCAGATCGTTGACGTCCGATGGTAGCTACGCGCAAAGTCCGTATACTGACAGGAGGTACCCTCAACCTCCGGCCTATCACCATACCTACGCGAACCAGAACTACCCGCAGGCCTACCAGCAACAGTACCAACCATACAGTCAAAGACTGAGCAGCACAGAAAGCGCACAACTGACAGACGGCTATCAGAGACAGTGGCAGAGGGAGCACCAGTACATTCAGGACCACGACACCGGTAGAGCGACGATGGATCAGTCTCAGCACCAAACTAGTGAATACTACGACGCGTCCAGTGTGATAGTTTCGCAGTCGGGCTACATAAGCATCGCGTCGAATTTGAAGGATCACGAGGTGGACAACGCGAAGGCCACGAAAAAGATCCGAAGGGGATCGTCCCTGAAGAACGCGATGAGCTCAATGAGCAACTGGTTGCCGGACTTGCACCTGAGCAAACGACATAGAAGTCACTCTTTACCAGGTGGAGTGAGAAGAGAGGACTTAGACGGTCCCCAGGAGCAACCACAACGACTTCCCGCAGAAGTAACTACCACCAGGGGTCGCGGCAGGGGTCAAACAACTAGGAAGAAGAAAAAGCACACGTTAGTCTCAACAGTGTCAGGTATCTTACAGAAGGCGAAGAGAAGGAGCCATCAGTCCCAATCCTTGTCAGACCCTGAGCAATCGGAGACTGAGTGGAGCAGCGGTAGGCAAAGTGGCCTATCGGAAGACGAAGACAGCGTGATGTCCGACGCAAACCAGGAGCAGCCGTTCTTCGCGAAAGTGAAGACGGCAAGCACGAAGCGGAAGCCAGTATCGCAGCCGATTCCACAGCAGCAGCAACCGACGACGCAGCTACCGCCTCAACAGAAGGATTATCTACAACAGCAACAGCAACAACAACAACTACAACAACAAGTTCTCCAACAACAGGTGCAGCAGCAGGCTCTTCAGCAGCAGATGCAACAGCAGGCTCTTCAGCAGCAAATGCAACAGCAAATGCAACAGCAGATGCAGCAGCAGATTCAACAGCATCAGGAACAACTGCAGCAGCAACAAGCTATTCAAGATGTCTGGAGCAAAGAGAAGGATCAACGGAAGGAAATAGATCATGATGTCGATCAACTAGGTGGTTTCGAGGAAGAAACATCTGGCAAAAGCACAGGATCCGGTTCAGGAGGATCCTCTATTTTCCAAACGGTTGGTGACATCAAGAAGTCGACAGGTAGCTCTGACGAAGCTCCAAATGAGAAAGCACCTAAACTTCCACCAGTGACCTTGATGGGTGGTGCAAGTATGGAATTTGCAGTGTCCAGAGCGTTAGGCAAGTACAGACAAAGACAATCGTCCACGGTGTCCGACGAGCAGCCGGTCAGCGAGGACTCCGGTAACGACAAGAAGTCCGAAGAGGGAACCGTCCAAACGTTGGAGACGAGCTTCGAGTACCCAGAAGATATGTCGGAGAAAAGCGAGAAGAGCGAGAAATCGAGCAGCACCAGGCTGCCGGAACTAGTGACGAGCATATCTGAAGAAGCTCCACCATCGGAAGGTAGCCCGTCCGCGTCCAGCGCAAGAGGTCTTCCAACGGGGAACCGGTTCCTACCGCGACACCAGCAATCCCTGGAAATTCCTTGGACTGGATCCCGGCCTGGCGAAATGGACGAGGACAACCGAAGCACTCATTCCTATCGAAGCACGTCGAGAGTCTCGTCCAGACGGCAAAGCACCGAGGACTCGATCGACTCCGAAGACGAATGGTACCGTTACGAGCTGAGGAAGCTGGAGGAACTAGAGCGACAATCGCAAATAGAGGTAGAGATGGGAGAGGTTCTGGTCGAAGAACCTGAAGAAGCAGACCATTATAAGCCAGACGATACGGTGAAGGAGAAAATGTCGTTCGTGCTGAAAGAGTTGAAAATGAAGGCTACAGTGAAACCAAGGGAGCTCGTAGAGGAAAGGGAGGAGATGAAAGCGGTTAAAATGAACGGAACCATCTCGAAAGACCGTCGTATCGAGGAGAGAGACCGATATCGCGACGAAAGACCAATTCCGAAACGAAAGTCTGCCGAGAGTATCGAGCAAGTGTTCGCTAGAGTAACGGATTATCATTCGTGGGCGCAAGAGGAGGAAGTTAGGAAGGAGAAGCCACCTTCATCCGTGGAAGAAGGCTCGTCTGGTGAGACATCTGGTCCTGATAGTCCTGTTCAATCAATGGACGAGGAAGAGGAGGAGGAGGAGATGCCGAAGGATCTCGATGAACAGCAGTCTAGGAGGAGTTCTAGCGGCTCGACCCTGCGACACAGCGAGAAGATTCACCCTGGATCGGAATCGCTGTCTCGTGAGGGTAGCGTTAGCGTGCCACCTAGCGAGGTGTCCGTCAGCATCCCGGGTGCATGGGATTCGGAAAGCACTGTCCTTGAAGGCCTCGAGCGCGACGGTGCTGGTAGCGCCGAGACGGCGACTACCGCGACCTTGAGCCTGCCGAAAATCAAAATCGACTCCTCGTCCTGCGGTAGCTCGGACACGACGCTTAAGGAGGGCCAGGTCAGCCCTGGCCCCCCTGGATCCAAGTGGAAGCTACTGAAGGCGTTGAAGGAACGCAAGGCCGAGGAGAAGCTCAAGGAGGTCGAGGAGGCCTCTAAGGAGACTGCTATCGCTCAGGGACCCACGGCAGTGAGTATCATGATTAAGTGAGGACACGAAAACCTTTGTAAGGCGTACTCGAGATTCGGAGGTTGGATTAAATCGTAGTAGGTCCGACCGCTTGGACGAGACTGATTTTCCTTCGATGAATTCAATTGTTCATCGCGCTTCCGACTGACTTCTACTGATAGTTTCTCGAGATGTTAGTTATGCTGTCTCTCTCTCTTTGTGTACAGGGTGTTTGTAAAATGTTGGAGACGCTCATTCAGAATCTTCTGTAAAGGTTGATAGTTATGTTTTACTGTTTAATTACGATGTAAATCTGTTTAATTTAATGCCAATGTATACACATACTTTTTCACTTTTGGTTATTTATGATTCATGAATGGTTGATGGGTAAGCAACTTTTTGCTTTTACCGTGAAACTATTTTATGAATGATCAATCAAATGAGTGATTCAAGAAAAATTGCATAATTTCGTAAGTATAATTTTATCACTCCATCAAATTTCATTGAAATCGTATTCTGTGTGTAATCTTTCATATTTAGTGACGGCCTTAACAAAACAGGGTTTCGTCCAAATATATACATTCTTAAGAAACTCTCGCAACAAACATAGCATGTTAATGCTTCTGACAAAAAAATTTTTTCAAATTGCAACCTCTATGGAAGCTATCCTGATCTCACGTCCCTGATATTAAGAATCTACATAAAAACTACGAAGACGAACGATGCGAGTTCACGAAAACCGAAGAGAGCCGCAATCCCGGCCAAACTTTCACACATACGTAAAGAACTGCGCAGAAAGTCCACTTAGAATCCTACAAACCAACGAAATCGTCCATAAATCCATCGCCGAACGCTCGCACCGTTCGTCTTCCAGTAAAATGCTCCACGATCAATTAATCAACAGCGTACTGGATTGATTTAGCGCATTGGCTGCCCAATTTTCGGTGAGCCTTCGATTCGTTGCCGCCGTCGAGTAACGAGTACGCTCTACGCGAGCGAACTGTAAATGGTGAAAAAAAAACGAGTGAGAGGAGGAAGGGAAACGAAAATGAAAAACTACGAATTTAAGCGTAAATACATACATACATTACATATACCGTGTAAGGTCTAAGTCCTGTGCCGGCGCGTGGCACGTGCATCCAAGTCAATACTAAGGTTACAGAGATGGGAACGGAAGTGAAGCTTTGCTGGGCGGATTCGCGTCGCCGTTGTGACGACGCAACGCCAGACGGACGCGCATCGGACCGATCGAGAACTCGGAACACGTATAACAGTTGGTATATACTAGTCAATTCAACAAGTGCAGCGTCGCTGACGCTTGGCCAAGCAATATACTCGTAGACGGTTAGTGATGGAGGGGCGTTGGGGGTCTGGGTGTGGGTGGGGGGTCGAAAACCGAAGACGCACGATTAAGCACCAGTCGGTAGTCGCGATCGGCGACGATCGATTTCGAGAGACCGGTAAGGGATGAATATCCGTGTCGGCGGAAACCATTGGACATCGTCGGCAAAGTAAACGAGGCTTGTTTAATTCATAGATCCTAGAACTACTTAGATGGTGCTTTAATAATCGATACGCTTTAAAGGTAGTATTATCGGGAGAACCGCGTGCCTGCGCGGTCTGAGAGAAATTCATTCACGGGGAGTAGTATTATTTCGTCAATTAATGTTTTCCAGTGACAGCCGGGAAACGCTGGTCTTTCACAGATTTTCACGGAGAAATAGTTAATTAATCCTGGAAGTTCTAACTGCTTAACGATTCCGCAGAACCTTTTTGACGGCTGATATTTAACACATGCAGCTTTTTTTCTTTAATTTATCATTTATATGATTCTTTTATCTGTAATGATTGATATTTTTAAATATATATTGCATTTTCGACAAGATATAAGTAAACAAAGAAACATGAATAAATTAAGTAAAATATAAGTACAGAAAATGTTTATTTTGTGGATTACTTGCATAACGTAAGTATGTTTGATATGCATTTATTGCATGACGTAGTTCTCGAAGACGTGGATCTAAAGTAACACAGTACCCCGAGGGTTGAACAGTGATTTACGTTTACTTCGTAGTTTTCCTGCTGAAAATTATGGTAGACTTGACACGCTCCAGCGCGTTAGGCACTATTAGTTGAAACTAATTCGTATGAATATATATGAATATGGAAATTTGACAGAGGGTCTCGTTAAGCCAGGGGAGTTGATCTAATTAGCATAATCGTAGTTAATTATTGAACGTAGACGTAAGAGGAAACTGATTCCATATTTCGCTTTGAATCGCACACCACTGATCCATCATAACAATTAAGACTCGAGAACTAATTTAATCTCTATCTCTTCCGAATTATTCACTCACTCGGATTGTTGGGACAAGGGTTGGCAAACTCTACAATCAGTGAATCAAGAATAATTTCATTCGTCTCGGTAAAACAGACACGTTTCTTGTTTGATAATTATCTACAGTGACGCATACAAGTATTTGTACAGTGAGAAGATTACGAAAATGGCAGTTGTAATAGATAAATGAAGAATTTTACTTCAATTAATTTTGTATAACACCGAAACTAATATTCAATTTCAATAGACACTCATAATAACATAATCACAGGATAGGAAATTTCATTTATAACGAAAATAATTGTATACAGAAGTCCTTGTTCTATATCTACAATATCGTGAGCTTCTATTTAAATGAATTAATAAATTACGAAATAGAATCCTTATATTTATTTACGTAGTATATGAAACAATATTCGTTGAACTAAAATTATTTATTTACGTATTGCAATTAGATTTATCAGGTTCTTATTGTATGAATGCTTTCGTACATCACTATGTAAGTAACAATATAAACTGTACTTTCTAGGCTAGCAAAGCCTACAAACATGTAACATCTCTTTGCAAAAAGGTTTGCCCACCCTTTACGAGAACGCACAAACCGAGCGACCTTACCTAAAGCCTCTCTACAGCTACGAGTGAGAAGAGCAAAGTAGGATAATGCGAAGAAAAGGGAAACAAATCGCGCAGGCACGGTTGAGGAAAATCTCGTTCATCGTGCACATCGAAAATAATCCCTTCCGAGATTACGCTCGCGAAACGTGGAGAAACAAAATGGCGGAAGTGGGTTCAGCGGCCATATGTAATCTAGGGGCATACGCTATGGAACAGGAATATTGAACACTGAAACTTATTACACCTTTGTACCGAACCTTTTTGATATTCAAGGATTTTCAGCATTGTCAGCGTTCTCATTTTAGAAAGGAAGGGAAAAGATGTTCATAGGTTTTTGTGAATTTTTAAAGATGAGAAGTGCTGACGGAAAGAAAATGTCTGCAGGATAATGTCAATTTGTAATACTCTTTTCTTCCTGGATAAGTGAGGATGTCTTGCGTGCAAGAACAGAACAGAAACAAAAAAAAAGTGCGACTAGAAAATTAAACGCGAACCAATTACGCAGCATAGTTGCGTGAGGAAAGCGGAACGGTTTCAACGGATCCGTTCCGCCATGAAATGTGTCCTGCGGAAAGGTGAGACCACGGTCGGCGTCACGTGTTCTCCGTATATTAGAACGTAATATATTGCGAGAAGACGTGAAAACGCGAAAGTCGATAACAAACGGGAATCGCGTGGCTGGGTGTTTCATGGACAATATTGTTCTCGCAAGAAACGCTCGCTTCCACTTCATATTCCATGAAATAGGGGAGGAATAGGAGAAATTTTCGGCCTAAAACGATTTGGCGATGATAGATATTTGTCTCGCGATTGATTTAGTGAGCAAGGCGAAGAAGATTCCCGCGGTACACACCGTTTAATCGACGATTCGTTAATCGAGGATGATATTATTTGATTTTCTTCCGACAGCTGCAAGTAGATTTCGACGGAGTTACTCGAACAACGGAGAACGATGAGGCTAAAGTTTGTTGTCGTGCATCTTGTAGTACCTATTCGTAACTAGTTCACTCTATATAGGCTGATAGTATGATAGAGATTAATTCCAGGGAGGTAAACTAGGCGGGGCGAGTCGCGTATGCAATCCTGAAGTCCTAAACATGTTCCTCCAACTGTAAGCCCTCTTACAGTATTGATTTTCAGTTATTTTACTAGCACCGAGGTTCCTTCTAAAACCTTGTCAATTATATACATTGTTTTAAGTAAAAATTTGATTTGTTCAACACTCGAACTTGTATTTCAGATAATGATCCTTTCGACTAAGTGCAGTTTCGTGTCCACTAGTTACTTCATCAAAAATCGATAATCCTAAAAAATTAAATTTTCAGTTCAAAAATAAAAAATTAAGTACATTTATGTAAAAACTTAGTTTTAAAATAACACAACCAGTATTGCATAATAAAATTCAATAACGTCACATTCAACAAATAAACATCTAACTTCAAAGAATCTAATCGAATGGAATTTTATTAACAAATTAGTTAACCAGTCAATTACCAGGATCTACAAAAATAACTCGCATGAAATTATCAGATGCAATTCAGTTAAACGCGCAAGTTTCCAGATGAACGACTCACGAAAAGCGATATTATCCGAAGTGACACGTAAGTCAAGTCGTTAACCTCGCACAACAGGTTGGAAGGATTGGTACGCGTGTTCCGTTCGCTATGAATCTTCGTTACCCAATTGACAATGCCCCCGAACTTATCAACCGTACAGAAACCGACCCCACGTAGCAGGAGGCGTACCAGGATTTGCACGCGCGACATCGCATCGTCGCAAATACGCAGAGTAGTTCGCGTACTAAGATTTTCCTCGTACTCGTCCACGAACGTGCATACCATTTCGTAATCTCGAAACGATCGATCGCGTTCCGGGTACCGATAACCGTTCGGCATAACATGATATGTCCGCAATAGTTCCGTAATCGAACGGATACGCCATCGGGCGCAAACACACACACACACACACACACACACACACAAAAGCATACATAAATACATACATACGGACACGTGCGAGCACACGAGAGAACAAGTACTTACGATACAAGCCATACGAATTTCTGTTT